GTGTGTGTGTTGGCATGACAGGCTGGGGTTGGGAGGGAGATCAATAAATTCACTGGCTGTATCTGGGAAAAAAAAACCCAAGTCAGTACCTGAACACGCAGCTACACCGAGCAGGACCTGATCCCAGTAGACTGGAAGCACTGGGTAGGAGGCTTGTTCTTTACTGGGTGCAGTGACGCGCATTTCTACAGCGGGGGGACCTTCCCAGGACAATTCCACTTTATTCAGTGCTTCCCAAATTGTCCGGGCCCTCCACTGTCTACTGCAGGTCATCCGACGCGCCCGTTCCACTAAACTCCGCAGCTGTGGTCCCGCTGGACAGTTAATGGGCCTCCTACTTCACCGCGGTCCTTCTCATCTCGGCAAAGCGCTGGGCCTTGGAAGTCAAGACGGGCAGGGCAGTAAAACCCGGACTGGATCAGACCGCTGCGATGCAAGGAGTCTGGTTGACAGCACTGTGAAAGCCCGGGGCGGATCAGAGGGACGGCCAGGGGGGTTTCAATTTGCGCCAGCACCTGCTGGATGGGTGGACAGACGGACTGATTTCCCTGGGGAGGTGCGGTGCAGGATTCCGTTAAGTAACCGCGCGTTTCTGCTCCGCTCTTTCTCCGGGAAAGCTGCTTTATAGGAAGAGCAGGGCTGTAATGGCACCCGGCTGCCGCTGGAGGCCGCTCTCTAGCTCACGCTCCCTGCGACAGACGGACGCAAGCGCCTCCCGAGGCTGGTCTGCCAGCGCGGAGCCTCACGCTACGCTTGCGGTCTTTTACCTATACGTGCACTTGCACGCCTGCGTCCGATTTCCGCCCTAGAACCGCAGCCTATAAATCGATGTGTAATAATGGGGGTAATGTGTCAATCGGGCACGTCTCTTTCAGATTGGCAGTCTCACCCCTCTCCCCCCGCCCTCCGGCGTAGGTGCGCCTCTGTGCTCTGGCTGAGCTGTAGTGTTATAAGGTGTTACGCAACAAGTTAAATAACATCCTCTCTAATAATGCTGACACAGCTGCCTTACAGAGGGAGACGCACAGACGAAGAGAGAGTTTTTCACTCCTGTTCTCCCATCTTATCTACAGCCATCTGTACCCGATTAGTATTAACACAGGCTGGGACACATATTAACAGAGGTATGCATTAGGCTGCTGCTAATACAAAATAGTATAGATCTGAATCCGGTTTAGAGGCAGTGTTTGACTGCTGATCAAATTGATTGATCAGTGATTGATGGTGACAAGGTCTGCGTGGGTAGGCAGGAGAGCCCATGGGCCAGGAGTGCTGAGCCTGGAAAACCTCCATGCCTTAACACTGAGAGACAGGGCAGGGACTCTTGACAGTATCCACAAACAATGCACCTGATACTGCCCCAGAGATCAAGAGCCCTGGGTCTGACAGGACTGAACCCGCCTCAGCCCCAGACACAGAGAGCCCTGAGTGTAACAGCACTGAACCAGCCTCAGCTACAGATACAGAGGATCCCGAGTTGCAGATCCAGCCTCATCTCCAGCTACTGAGAGCTCTGAGCTTCAGCACTGATCCTGTCTCGGTGCCAGACTGAGAACCCCGAGTCCAAAACCCTTAGAGGACAGGCTCAATGACCACAGCCTGGACAAAGAAACCCACAGACAGACCTGGCTGTCCAGAGAGGACAGGCTCAGTGACCACAGCCTGGACACACGAAATGAGCAATACCGAAAGGGGAGCCTGTGCTCCTGTGCTTGAGACAGGAGAGGCGGAGACATAATTCCAACCAAAGGTTCAGTTATGTTGCCGAGAGCTGGACTGGAGCAAAACCCAGCAGGTAAGCTGGGGCCACCAGGCCCAGGACTGGGAACACCTGGAGAGGCCAACAGAGCACTTTGAAATGGAAATGAGAGAGGAGAGAGGGTGAGCGAGAGAGATACCCCGAGCTGGAATTCCCCACAGCAACCCCGAATGTGTTCTGCACAAGCTTCAGCAGCAGGCACTGTATGATGCACACGCTGCACTGGGGTGTTAGTGCGTGCTCAGGTTTGTGCTTGGTGCTGTGTCCTACCTGTAGCAGCTGTGAGAAAATCCCACTGATTTCACTCCGGTGTGATTCTGCTCTATCAGGATCCAAAATCAGGACTCAGGTGCATTTTGGGCTGCTTCAGTCTTTTTTTTAATTGATTTTTATTTTTTATTTCATTTTTCCATTTGTTTTCAAACACACACCATTTTATTTTTGTTGTTACAGATACAGTTTTTTTCTAACTCATAACAATAAACACAGGTCATTTGTATTTATATATATATTTTTAAATCTTTTCTTGATATTAATCATTGTCCGACACGATTTTCATTTATTTGAAATGTCTGTTCATCAAATATCTTTTGTGTTGTTTTGACGTTTCTGTATTAAGTTGTTGCTGCGGTTATATTTTGTGTTAAAGATCCAACCCAAAAGGGAAAAGAAAATCTAAAGCTAAAAACATACATTACCCAGAACCCTCTAGCCTGATCCCTCCTTGAAGGCAAGGGATTGTGGGTAATGTAGGCTAATGCCCTTTAAGCCCCAAAATAAGTAAAAATAAATAACAACAGTTACCAATACAGTCACACCAAAATGGCAATGGTAGCTCCAGTTTTCAAAACAAGATTTTATATTCACAAAATGCGTACAGCCCTCTGTAAAAGACACTACAAGTACCAGAATGCATTGTGGCATAGACATTAAAAGAAGAATATATAATCTCGCGGATAGCCAAATTCACTTGCTGACCGGCTACCAGTGGTCACCCTAAGGGTCCCCGCTGCTAGGGACCTCTGGATTGAAATGATAGACGTTTGCTATTTCTTTTTAGTCCCAAAGGCTTGCGCTGATCTTTTCTACCAGTGTTGCGTCAATCTTAAACCGGCTTCCTGTTTTTTTTTTACGACCGAAGCTTGTTCGGGGCGAGCGCGGTCGGGCGCTCCTGACCGCTACACCAACGTCATCGTTACGTCATGGGATTCAGCGCAAACCAGGAAATGGTTTCAAGGCCGCAGAGATGGTTCGGGTGCCGGTCAGCAGGCTAAATCTGCGCCATTCATACGGGCTCACAAGCGACGCCGTTCAATGCGTCCTTGGGGCGAACAAAGCATCTGGACTTCTGCAGGTAAAACTCGTCTCCACACTTCTATCCAACCACGTGTCCCCCGAAAAGCAATACCTGTATGTCGGAGCATTAAAGCATAAACCCACACCATTGTAAAAATAATAAATAATAATAAAAATAAACAGTCACAGATGAGGAATGCGGATTTCATATCCCTCTGGATCCATTTTCCCAGCCTCCAGTGGTTTCCCTCCAGATCATGGAGGCAAGGAATTTTTCTTCCAGTCAGGGGTAAAAGAACCACATTCGCCAACCTGTTTCTGTCCCTCACACACTGAGACACAAAAATACATCAACTCTGTTTTAGACGTCCCCCCCCCCCATCGTCAAGCACACTCAGGACAACCCCTGATCTGTGAGAGGAACCTGCTCGGGTCCTACGTCACCTTAGCCTGAGATGAGAAAGACCCGCGAGGAGCCCCTCTATTTGCCTGTCTGAATTATGCTTTTCCATGTTGATTTTCCTTATTTTTACAGATCTGACTACAGATCTTGGGATTTTTTTTTTTAGATCTCCCCTCCAGACAAGACCGGGGCTCCTCCCAAATACCCACCCCTCCCCTCCCCCCCAACAACACAACATCATACACACAGTTTTTTTGTTTTTTGTGTTTTGCTGAACAGCGACGAAGATTAGGACACGTTTGGTGTTGCTGTTGCCATCAGTAACATAACGTACACACACACACAGGGATCCAGGGTAATAAGGTTTGTGCTATCACTGTCACTACGAGCAGGTGTCCCTCGACTGGATCGCAATTGTTTCATTTACAGGTAATCGGTTTGATATGAGAGTTACGTATGGCCGTTGCAACTTTCATGTTTTTAATTCGAGCAGAATCAAGCTCGCGATTTCAGTTTGGCTTTCTCCGTTTTTTTTTTTGGAAAGTGCAGCTGCTTCCGGGACAAACTTCCGAGGGCTAACGTGTCACTGCGTCTTCCCGGACGCCTGCGCTGTTTTCCGAAGGGATCGCTCTGGAGCTGGATTGCAAGTAACGCCAATACCCCCTAACCCCCCCTCCGTCTCCACTCCTACCACGTCAGCAACCGGATCAGCCATAGACAGGCAATGTAGTAATTGCTTGTGCGCCCCCTACTGGTATACAAGCACATTACAGCTGGGACAATCCACGCTGTCCGATTTTGGAATGCTTTTATCATCACTCTTTCATAAGGTTGACGCTATCGATCAATCCCTGCGGGTCAATTTAAAACCACAAGACCTTGACACAACTTACTCCTCTGCTGGCGTGAGACCAACCAGCACGCGATCACGTGGCTCTGACGCTCAGAAGGCAGCAGCCCCTGGTTCAGACAGAAGGACGCACGTCAAATATCAGACTGATGGGTACCCTAGGAGTAAGAGCCCAGGTGGGGTAATGGGATTTCAAGAGAAAGCCGAAAGCTTTCACATGGGGCCTTCTGAGTTAGCTCTGCAGTGCAACCGAGAACCTCGACTCCTGTATTAAATCAGAAGCAAATCCCACAGCTAGCAAGTTTGGTTGCATCTGTATCTGTTTGCTTTCTGGAGCAGATGGGATCCGAATGACAGTCCCAGCCAACCTATCAGTCTAGCTGTTTGTTAACTTCCTGTCAGGCTGACACTGGTTAACTCCTCCACACAATGCCCAGACCGGATTGCGCTCACAAGTTTCCGGCTTTCCTTGATCCCACCTCCAGCTATTCCATCCCGATCCCACCTCCAGTCCAACAGGGCCCCCGATTCCGAGTTCTGGAGAGCGGGTTCTCTCCAGCCCCGGCACTCCAAGACCGGAACCGGTTACAAGTGCCGCCACGCGGGCGGTGCCATCGGGCAGGCTGCCCCAGCCCCCCCCAATCTGGCGTCGGCGTCATTCCCGGAATCTCTCCGATCGCAAACCGTTAAAAGCCGCTGTTCGGAAGCTTGGACGCCGCGCGAAGCCCACGACGGGAATCGCAGTCTGCTGCTCCCATCACCCCCCACCCCCACCCGCTCGCTGGCCGGCGTCCCGCCCCGTCGATCTTGAACGGTCTCGCCGCAGCCCCTCCAGAGCGACCCTGCCCCTGCCGAAAACCGCGCTGGCTGAAAGAGGCAGTGAGGCCGCGCCCGACCGCAGGCTCGTCTGTCACTACGCTACAAAAATAAAAATCTAAAAAAACATGCAAGATCTCAGCAATTTAAGTCACAGATAGAAATCCTGAAGTATAGGGGTCCACAGCTTAACGGAAGAACACATATATATATTTCAGACTGAGCACAACGTCTTGGTGGCTGTTGGTAGTGCAGTTAGAGATTTGGTGACAGCCTGCAGCCAAGAGGAACATGCCAATGAGGCGAGGCGAAATGACAGAGCCAGGGAGAGAGCGCTAGAAGGGCAGAGTACAAAACACAGGAGAGGGGAAATGGGAGGAAGAGTAGTCTTCTAAAAAGGGCATCATATGAAGCCTTAGGGGGTAAACAGAGTAGGAGTCCACCCTCCTCCTCTGTGCTCCATCACTAATAATCCAGGACATGTGCTTTATATATGGGCAGGGAGAGTGGGCAGGCACAGAACCCCGCCTCCACTGTTTTTGAGAGTTCTTATTGGCTACTAGCTCTTCTGTTCCCGCCCTCAGCCCCACCTCCTGCGATCCCGGTTGGTTGTCATGGGAACTCCATACCCTTGCCTGCCAAGCTCTGAGGCACTGCAGGCTTCGCACTGCAAACGCAAGAGAGCCAGCGTTGTGGCACGTCCCCCACAGAGAGAGCGAGTCAGTACAGACATCTGACTGCTGCGCTCTCCTGATACAGAGCCCTGCTGAGCAGGGGAGAGGGATAGAGGAAATGATCTCCTGCCACCAGAAGAAAGATGGAGAGACCGAGGAAAGAAAGTTGAGACAACGCAGAAGGGCCGGCTATAGGACATTTGCGGGTCCCAGGTCACGCCAGCCCGGCGCAGGAAGTCAGTTTTTAGTTGGGAGAATCCTCAAGGAAGCTACCAGACATGCCAACAGGCTCCTCACTGCTACGGGCATCCTATACAGTTCCTCCAAAGACATCTTCTTAACAATCCCAAATGGCACTCCAGGGAGTTCTCAACGAATCCTTCGGAGAAATCCTCCTGCAGTGTAAACACTGCGTGTACTTCCTGCCTCTGTCATCACCTATCAAGAACTATGTCTCTCCCCCTCCTCCTCCTCCTCCTCCCAGGAGCCTGCAGTAAATGGAACTCAGGGCCACACTGCCTAGGCACGGGCGAGGATGGCGACGGCAACGTGGAGGACGTGGAGGAAGGATGAACGTGATGGGAATGTCCAGGCCGTACCGAAACAGAAACTGACGGATGTGGGAAGACGAGAACCCGGAAGGGTGAAAGGAGCAAGAAGAGACCATACTCCTCGATGACGCGTCTTTCCCCAGCTCAGCGGCAGTGTACCCGCCCCGCACAACAGCCAACAGGCTACCGGCAAGTCCAAAAATAACGGGCTCCCTGATCGAGTTGTCCGTTCGCCCGCGCACAACAAAAATAACTGGGGATCCTAAAATCTGTTCCTGGTGAGAGAGAGCAGAGGGAGCACTACCACCGCGAGTGAGAACAGCTTCAGGGCTTGTCTGGAACTTACAGGTTCCTTGCCTGGGGCTCAGGAATGGCCAGATCTTCTGTGTTTGTGGCTCTCGGTTAAACCCAGAGGTGCACCATTTCAGTCCTGGTGTGCAGCCGATCCAACTTTGTAATGATCAATAAAAATCAATAAAAATCGATTATTCCATTAAATCCCTCCCCCCCCCCAGTGTTTCAGTCCTGATTTTGTGGGTTCAACCTTGTACCTCCTCCAGGCCTTTACCATGCTTTTAGCATGATTTCATTGTGCTTTAGACTTACGGCCGCCCACAGATCTCTCTCGGGCAGATTTATGGGCAACCCCAGGCCTGGAGGACCCTGGGCCTCCTGGTTGTCGTTGCGGCTGGGCTCCACATTACCGCACGGGACTTGAAGTGAGCTCTCTGACACAAGCTAGTCATCTCCCTACAACATCTAGACTAATCGCTGCTCAGTCCTCCAAAGAGGTTTCACTGGCAAGTACAGCTGAACACGCCGTGTACCTCACCCTTAATGCACGAGCAAGGATCCCAGCGTGAGATACGAGAGGGGCTATAGTTATGTCTGCGCTGGACTCCTGGCTGCTTCAGAAAAGTGTCCGTTCCAATCAGTTAGGGGCTCAATGAAGTAACAAGGAGCTAGCTGACCCCCAAAGGTCGCCCTGCGCCCCCTCCCACGAACCAACAGATGAATCCACCGATGCCGTTCGCAGGTGTTGTACAATTAGGCACAGGTGGTGACGAGTATTTATGCCACCTGAGTGAGTCTTGGTGTGTATATATATATATGTTCTTCATCTATAAGGTCACAAGCTGTGGACAGGAATGTTTTAGCTTTCTGAATACATATATAGATACCCCTGTCTGTGGTCGCACAGGACTTTCAATTGGCTCCGTTAAGGGGGCAGGGTTGCGGAGCTCTGCCAACGAGGTCGCCGAGACACGATGGAGTCTCAATTGCCTCTGGCTGTCAAAAAGAGGGGTTCGGATTCCGAACGTGCCACCCCCCTCCCCCCACACCCACACACACTTCATTCGTTTGAAGTGGCCCCAGGACATGAAAAGTGGGGGTGGGGTGGGGGGGGGGGGGCTATTTTTTTCCGTTTGCTGTTGTAGTGCAGAACGGCGGGGCTCTGGTTCAGATCTCGCTGTGAACAGCCGGTGTTGCCTTTGCAGTGACTGTGAGTTTCCACTCCTTCGCCGTGTGTATATATATATTCTTTTTAAAACATGTTTATACATATATAGACAGCATATCACACCATTATTGAGGAATGTCAGAGAGATAAGAGACAGAAAAATATAAACCACAAAAATCTATTAACAAATACGGAATTCAAATAAAAAAAAAAATCAGCTACATACATTGGTCCTTTTTCTAATGTGGCAGTTTCAAATGAATCAAGAACGAGAGAGAGAAATCTCTTTCCAAAGACTAGTAGGTAGACAGATAGACGCTGTCTGAAACAAGACAGGAAAAGCATGGTAGCTTTCCAAAAGTTCTGGAGAGAGAAAGAGGGACAGAGAGGAGAGAGAAAGACAGATCGCTGGTACATTAACCAAAGCCTCTGCTACCTCAGTTGAAAAGAACAAAAGGCAGTTATTAACGCAATTCCTGTGAACGCAGTACACAGCAGAAGACAGAGAGTGAGGAACATCAGCTTCTCCAACCAGGGGAAGAGAAAACAAGAGATATCCAGACTTAGTAGGCAGTCAACTCTGATGCAAAGAAAAATACACCTCTAGAAACATTATCTAAGAATAAGACTCTACAAAAAACAATATATATATATATTTCATATATAACAATAATCGCTGTGGTCATTACCTTGTTTCTTTTCTGGAAATACGAATAGATAAGAAAAGCGGGGATATTTACAAGGACAGGGGTGCACAGAGACACACGCTGGGCTGGGAGAGCCGAGGAGATTTCGGGGGGCAGTGGGAGGGACGTGGAAGATTCTGGTGGTCGGTCGGGTGGTCAGTCATTCGTTCCTTCGTTTTTTCCGGCGAGTTTTTCTCCAAGACAAGAGATCGCTGATGGGAGCAGTGAACGGGAGCCAGACTAGGTACTGAAGTAGACTGCAGAGAGAAGGGAGTGACGGTTCAATCCAGTTCACGTTTGGTTAGAAATAACCCACTGCTGTCCCTCTCCTCTCACACTCCCCCTGAATTCACCAGCACACACACACACTGTCACACCTGACTGTACTGTAGACACTGCTAGAGCATCTGCTGTCCCTCTCCTCTCTCACTCCCCCTGAATTCACCAGCACACACACACACACTGTCACACCTGACTGTACTGTAGACACTGCTAGACCCACTGCTGTCCCTCTCCTCTCACACTCACTCTGAATTCACCAGCACACACATGGTCACACCTGACTGTACTGTAGACACTGCAAAAGCCACTGCTGTCCCTCTGCTCTCATTGTCACCCTGTACAAGAAACAGTGCACTCTTACCAATGACGATGATGAGGATAATTGCACATATCACCCCGAGAATGATCATCATCTAAGAGAGGGAAAAAAAAACTGGTTGTTCAAAGCCATTCTTTGAAAACTGTTGACACTATTCTGCTAAGATGCACAAATAGTCAAAACCAAAGAAATGCAGAGAAGCTGATCTTCTGGAGCTAGACAGCTGGGATAAGCCAGGCCACAGCTACCTTGCCTCCTGGTAACAAGACATACAGTGTGACTGCTGCTTCAGTAACCTCTACTCTAGGGCAGAGACGAGGGCTCAGCTGATCTCCAGCGCGAGTGGTTTTGTGACATTCAGCCACCCTGCTTGCTGCTTTGCGCGACCACATTTCTGGCAGGACTTTAGTTTAGGGGGGTCATAACTGACACCAGCCATAATACCCTGCACCTCACGACTGGAAGCCCACAGAAGCTCAGCAGGTGTGAGCCTGGTCATTACCTGGATGGGAGACT